GAGCTACTGAACTTCTGGTCTTTGACCTCTGCCCGATTCCTGGATTACTCTTTTTGCCTCACGATTCTACATTATGCTGCTGAGCTACTGAACATCTGGTCTTTGACCTCTGCCCGATTCCTGGATTATTCTTTTTTGCCTCACGATTCTACATTATGCTGCTGAGCAACTGAACTTCTGGTCTTTGACCTCTGCCCGATTCCTGGATTACTCTTTTTGCCTCACGGTTTCTACATTATACTGCTGAGCTACTGAACTTCTGGTCTTTGACCTCTGCCCGATTCCTGGATTACTCTTTTTGCCTCACGATTCTACATTATACTGCTGAGCTACTGAACTTCTGGAATTTGACCTCTGCCCGATTCCTGGATTACTCTTTTTGCCTCACGTTTTACATTATACTGCTGAGCTACTGAACTTCTGGTCTTTGACCTCTGCCCGATTCCTGGATTTCTCTTTTTGCTTCACAATTCTAGATTATACTGCTGAGCTACTGAACTTCTGGTCTTTGACCTCTGCCCGATTCCTGGATTACTCTTTTTGCCTCACAATTCTTCATTATACTGCTGAGCTACTGAACTTCTGGTCTTTGACCTCTGCCCGATTCCTGGATTACTCTTTTTGAATTACTCATTATTTGAGCTACCTTCTGGAATTTGATTCCTGAATTATTTTTGCCTCACGATTCTGCTGCTGCTGAGCTACTGAACTTCTGGTCTTTGACCTCTGCCCGATTCCTGGATTACTCTCTTTGCCTGATGATTCTACTTCACTCTTCCAGTCTGCATGGCCCTTGAACATGGCTCCTTTCCCTCCTCCTTTTTTCTCCTTCCTTTTTTTTTTTGTGACATTCCACAGCAGGCCAATTTGCTGCATTCCATTCGCTCCCACCAGATCACTTCCTGTGACATACGGGAAGCGAAGTGATGCTGCACTTCCAGTTTGCGGCTGGTTTAGGCTTGTGTTCCAGCGGGCCTCAGCTATGCAACGAGTGACACACAGGATGCACATGTATAATGTGAGTCCCGGCTTATTATATTCATTTTAATTACACTGTCTAGTGATACAGTGGACTTCCTATTATCTATGGGGCTGACAGGTATCAGATTTTCATATGTGATGCATGCTGAGGGGTATTGCTGCATGCAGCAGTTGGGTGTTAAAGGCCTTTTGACCTCTGGTAGGGTCTGTGACCTAGACCTGTCCCTTTTTTGAGGCAATGGGAAGGGCCAGTGTGGATATATATATAGAATCACGTCCTGGTTTGTTTTAGTCTTGAGGAAGAGGGTGCTCACCTGAAACACAACTTTTCTGAGTATCCTTTTGGCATTTGTGGTGTTTTGTTGAAGAATAAATTGCTGGTAATACACTAGGTGTTTGAGCCCTCCTGTGTGTTATTTTTGTGTATGACTCCTCCGACCATGCTTCTGGATTTTATTTTTAATTTATTACAGGTACTTATATAGTGCCGTCAATTTAGGCATTGCTTTTACATATATCACATCAGTCCCTAACCCTCAAGGGTGTACAATCTAAGGTCCCTAACTTACATTCATACATACATATACTAAGGCCAATTTTTAATTTAGACCGGATCCAATTAACCTACCAGCATTTGGAGTGTGGGAGAAAGCCCACGAAGGCACAGGGAGAACATGAAAACTCTAAGCAAGCAGTGTCGTGATTGGGATTTGAACCAACAACCCTAGTACTGCCAGGTGGAAGTGCTAACCATTTAGCCACTGTGGATTCTGACATTTTACCTTGCCGTCAAGATTTGTTGCTGACCTAGCCTGCCTGATTACACTAATGCTTCAACCACCAGCCAAGCTCCACTCTCGACTAAACCTTTTACAGGTACCTTACAACTTTTCCTTTAAAGAAAAAATCATGTTTTGCCTGGAGATGGGCTTTTATGCATTTTTTTGGGGACCAATTCCTTCTCAACATGAAGAGGATAGTTCATAGGTTAATTAGCCCTATTATAATTAAAGTGCCTAAATGCTCCTGCACACAGTATATAAAAAACTAACATAATGTATTTTAAAAAGGAAGATGTATACTGTACATACAGTGCCTTGAAAAAGTATTCATACCCCTTGAAATTTTCCACATTTTGTCATGTTACAACCAAAAACCTAAATGTATTTTGCTGGGATTTTATGTGACAGACCAACACAAAATTGGACATAATTGTGTAGTGGAAGGAAAGTGATAAATGGTTTTCCAAAATTTTACAAATAAATATGTCAAAAGTGTGGCATGCATTTGTATTCAGCCCCCCTGAGTCAATACTTTGTAGAACCACCTTTTGCTGCATTTACAGCTACAACTCTTTTTGGGGATGTCTCTATCAGCTTTGCACATCTAGAGAGGGACATTTTTGCCCATTCTTATTTGCGATATAGCTCAAGCTCTGTCAGATTAGATGGAGAGCATCTGTGAATAGCAATTTTCAAGTCTTGCCATAGATTCTCAATTGGCTTTAGGTCTGAACTTTGGCTGGGCCATTCTAACACATGAATATGGTTTGATCTAAACCATTCCATTGTAGCTCTGGCTGTATGTTTAGGGTCGTTGTCCTGCTGGAAGGTGAACCTTCACCCCAGTCTCAAGTCTTTTGCAGACTAACAGGATTTCTTCTAAGATTGCCCTGTATTTGGCTCCATCCATCTTCCCATCAACTATGACCAGCTTCCCTGTCCCTGCTGAAGAAAAGCATCCCCACAACATGATGCTGCCACCCCCATTTTTCACAGCGGGGATGGTGTGTTCAGGGTGATGTGCAGTGTTAGTTTTCCGCCTCACATAGCGTTTTGCTTTTAGGCCAAAAAGTTCAATTTTGGTCTCAGCTGACCAGAGCACCTTCTTCCACATGTTTGCTGTGTCCCCCACATGGCTTCTCACAAACTGCAAATGGGACTTCTTATAGCTTTCTTTCAACAATGGCTTTCTTCTTGCCCCCCTTCATAAAGGCCAGATTTGTGGAGTGCATGACTAATAGTTGTCCTGTGGACAGATTCTCTCACCTGAGCTGTGGATCTCTGCAGCTCCTCCAGAATTACCATGGGCCTCTTGGCTGCTTCTCTGATTAATCCTTGCCCGGTCTGTCAATTTAGGTGGACGGTCATGTCTTGGTAGGTTTGCAGTTGTGCCATACTTTTTCTATTTTCAGATGATGGATTGAACAGTGCTTTGTGAGATGTTCAAAGCTTGGGATATTTTTTTAAACCTAACCCTGCGTTAAACTTCTCCAAAACTTTATTCCTGACCTGTCTCGTGTGTTCCTTGGCCTTCATGATGCTGTTTGTTCACTAATGTTCTCTCTAACAATACTCTGAGGGCTTCAGAGAAGAGCTGTATTTATACTGAGATTAAATTAAACACAGGTGGACTCTATTTACTAATTAGGTAACTTCTGAAGGCAATTGGTTCCACTAGATTTTAGTTAGGGGTATCAGAGTAAAGGGAGCTGAATACAAATACACGCCACACTTTTCAGATATTTATTTGAAAACAAAAATTGAAAAACATTTATCATTTTCCTTCCACTTTACAATTATATGCTACTTTGTGTTGATCTATCACATAAAATCCCAATAAAATACATATGTTTTTGGTTGTAATATGATAAAATGTGGAAAATTTCAAGGGGTATCAATACTTTTTCAAGGCACTGTACAAAACTAGAAAAATGTACGTAATAAAAATGTCCTGTCATGTTCCATAAATAATTGTTTGGCTACTTTCCAAAAAAACCCAGAATAACTATTTGTTTGACAAAGCATTTTATGTATGCTTTCAGTTGCATGTATAAATTAACTTAGAACTTGATTATGCCTAGACACTAATATTTGGATCATCAGACACAGAACAGACCATTCAAAGCCTTGTAAAAATACAACATAAAATCCATTCAGCTGTTTGGCTGTGATTACTAGATTTTATTCCTAAAGTAGATGTAAAGGCTCATACAAATTCTTATGCAAGTGGAGTGTGTTTTTGTTTTTTAAATTCTACCGCCCTGGCACCTCTTATATTCTGACAACTCCTGTACGCTTACGGGACCACATTACAGAGAAAATGTAAAACAATGGTGAATTTCAGTAGTGATCTTGCAGTGCTGTAAAGCAACCCCTTACACATGATGATTTGATTTGTTTTTCATGCTAGTCTAATATCAAAAGTGAGCAGGCTACTAAAGATAAAAAAATTCTTGTAAGACAGAAAAAAAATCGGCAATGTTGTCATATATTTGTATTGTATTTTCAGATGAAAACTGATTAAACTAAAATTGTACGATCTGGTGTTGTACAAGAAAATTTTTCATGCTTATCCCTTCAAATAGTTTTTGACGAAAGCCGCGTACTAACGATCAGACTATCATACGTTCGGTTTGAAAGCAATATTTTTTGTACGATTTTCTGATCATGTGTACCAGGCTTTAGTACTCTGCAGGAAATGATGGAAGTTTCTGAAAACTTGCTAACCCACCAGCTAAGTAGTGCTTGAAATAAATAGATGTCCAATTTAAAATTCAGATGACTGCAATAATGGAGAAAAGGACACTGACAGCAGAAACAAAGGTTTTTGTTTAAACATGTTAAGGCTTATCCTGTGCTAAAAGGTTGTTGACTAAATACCATCATTTAAAGCTCTCATTAAAAGATTCCCACCCAACTACTACCTCCTACTTCCCTTTAACTAAAAGTTCCTTTACTTACTTGTGGTCATATGGCAAACTGGGTCCTGAGACTTCTCCAATTCCTAAAACAGAGCGGGAGGGTCCTTCTTTGGGTGACTATGCTGCTGCCTGAGTGATGATGTCCTCGTGGGGAACTGATCAAGGGAGACCACCATCGATGTATCACCAGTCCCTATTTCCAGATGTGGTGCCAGAGAGGGGCACAGATGGCAGATTCAGGTATCAGGTAAAGTCATTAATTGACTTTAATTATATATTTACCCCCTCTTTTTTTCTAGTGACCATTGTCACTGATACTGAAAGTGAGGAAAATCCCAAATTTTGTGTTGTCACTGAAATAGGAATACCAGGTCGTCTTGCAATGGGGGCATGTTGTTTTGATGACTGTTTCAAAGATTGCACTCACTTTGAATAGAGTTCCTTTTACTTCCCAATAGAATGCTGAAGGCAAAGAAAAACCTCAAAACAATTTTGACCTTTCTCCACTCTGTCCAAAGCTGTTTTAAAATAAATCTCAGGAAAATAAGTATTCCTGGAAAAAAGAAACAAAATATTTATCCGTATTGTGTCCTCCACCACTTATTACCACTCTGATGCAGAGAAATCTCCCCCTACATAGATTGACACTTCCTGGAAGGCCATACTCCTGTGGCTCCCAGTGGTTACTCCTATTGAGTCCTACTTCGCTACAGGATAGGATAGCGACATAGAGATTGAAAAAAAAACAACTAAAAAGAACTGCAGCACTTAATTAGGGCCAAAGAAGATTGATGCTTCTAGGAGTGTTGGTTGAGGTGTTGGTTCCTGTACAGACTTAGCGGAAGAGTTCTTTGAACTAGAGTGGTGTTTAGCTGAGAACAAGCACTGACAACACCTTTCTATCATACAAAATGTAGAGTCCTAGGGCCATATTTGTTTAATGTAGCATTCTCACTCCATGTATAGAGTAGCTTTAGATGGGCATGTGGTTTTAAATGGACATTTAAAAATTGAAAAACAAATTAAAACACACCTTCAGCTAAAATGTTTAGCTTAGGTTCTATGCAGGTTGAGATTGATTCATTTTTCCAATGTGTTTTGCAGGGTGTTTTGTATTTTTGAACATGTGTTTTTGATGCGTTTTGCGTTTTTTTTTTGTTTTTGGTGTGGGTCCATTGATGTCTATTACATTCAAAACACAATCTGCTGCAGGATAAAAAGTCCCTAACCCTTTACAAAAAAAAACTCACTGGCTCAAAATACATAGATGTGAACTAGATCCATGGGAAACCAATGGACTGCAGTACGTTTCTGCAAAATGCCCATGATTTGTTTGGGGTTGTTTCATTTACATGCACTATTGCACTTTATTTTTTTTAATACCTATAGTGCCGTATACTTCTTCTTTAAGCATTAGAGATATCATGGTGATTTCATAACACACAGCCGCCGGGTATTTGGAAGGATGTAGTAGTGTGCGAGCAATTCATATAAATATATCTGGCAGGGGACTTCCTGTTTTTTATGCCAGTGTCGAATCACATGAAGGTGGCAGCATAACCCTATCTTTATTAATATGGAGCTGCTCTGCAGCCTGTGATGTACTCCAAGAAAAAGATATTTCAGGTAAACCAAAAATCTGATTTTTTTTTACACATCAAAAGGAAATGAAACACCTCCTGTTCCTTTGGGCAAATCCTTCATTTTTAATATCATATACACTATCATGCAACTTTATAAGTCCTATGCATTCACTCTAGGTTTCATTCTTCCTAAATGATGTTCAATCATATCTAACAAATAACAACTACATTCATTTTGGATCTAATATCTCTTAATTTATGTGTCAGCTCTGCAGCATGTACTCCCAGTAAAAAAAAAAAATGTAGAAAAGCAAGATGTAGAGGATTTGGAAACACAGACAATACTAAACTGTGGGAGAATCTAACATCTTGCTCATTAATCTTTCAAAAGAACAGGTGGTTGTCCTTCCTGCCAGTGCCACAGAAAGAGCTGCACTATTTTATTAGGCATTAGTCAGTAGAAATGTGTTATGTGAGGCCAAAACAAGACTGAATAATGTTCAGCATTACACATAAAAAGATGTGGAACAATTTTTGATCCTTAAAATGACGATTAAATACAGTAATTAAAATTGGAATGAGCTTTATATGTTTGCACATTTTAGCATGTTTTTATGTTGCAACTTCTTTATCACCTTATGAACCTAAGCCAAGTAAAAGTTGAAAGCATGCCCACTTTCCTTCTTGCATCAGATATGGAATTATCAGATAAAGGCAATGGAAACATACCATCTTTAGAGCTGGGGACAAAACAGGCGTACAATGTACTAGTAGGTTAGAGGTCAGTCTTTAAGTACGTAAAGAATGCAGATGTACACAATCACTAGAATATTTCAAAAGAACATTTCTTAAGTGCTTAAGTTTAGTATTTTCCATCTGTTTGTAGACTGTAAAATACTTACCAGTCATGTCTCAATAATATCTTACCCATGAAAAAACCCATGCTTTGCATTTCAGTGCCATTCATTTTAAATGCAACCCCAACAGAAATATGCAAACCACCATAACACAAATGGTTTTTAGGGTGTCAGCATTCAGTTGTAAATTTTCTGTGCACTGTGGTGATCTGCATTGTTAAAGCATATCTAAACATACAGCTGTGCTCAAAAGTTTGCATACCCAGGCAGAAATTGTGAAATTATATGAAGCCATTTATTATCACATAGTTGTTTGGCTCGTTTATAAATCATAAAGATAACAGAAATTACACAAATAGCCTTGAGCAAAGTTTACATACCCTGGAATGTTTGGCCTTGGTACAGACACACAAGATAACATACACAAGTTAAAATGACAATTAAAGGTTAATTTTCCACATCTGTGACCTAAATTGCAATTAATGTCTGTCTATAACTAGTCAATAAGTTTGTTAGCTAATCATGCAGTAGGCTAGATACTGAGTCATGGGGATCAGAAAACAACTGTCAAAAGACATGCATAACAAGGTAACAGAATTTTATAAAGATGGAAAAGGATATAAAAAGATAGCCAAAGCCTTGAATATGCCAGTCAGTACTGTTCAATCACCTATTAAGGAAGGTGGGAAATTCTGTAAATTTGGTACAAAGCCAAGATCAGGTAGACCAAAAAAGTCTGTAGTTACAACTACCAGAATAATTGTTTAGATTCCCACAGGTAACCTCAGGAAAAATGCAGGTTGCTCTGGAAAAAAGACAATGTGGTTGTTTCTAGTAGCACAATACAATGATACTTGAACAAAAATAAGTTGCATGGTTGAGTTGCCAGAAGGAACCCTTTACTGCACCAATACCACAATGCCGGTTACAATATGCCCAACAACAGCTTGACACACCCCACATCTTTTGGCACACTGTAATCTGGAGTGAAGAGCCCAAAATATAGCTTTACGGTCAAAACCATGATAACTATGTTTTGAGAGGGTCAACAAGGCCTAGCAACAAGAATACCATCCCCACTGTGAAGCATGGTGATGGCTCACTGATGTATTGGGGGTGGGTGAGGCCACAGGAATCTTGTGAAAATTGATGGCAAGATGAATGCAGCATGTTATCAGAAAATACTGGCAGATGATTTGCATTCTTCTGCGTGAAAGCTGTGTATGGAACGCCCTTGGACTTTCCAGCATGACAATGACCCTAGGCATACGGCCAAGTTGACCCTCCAGTGGTTACAGCAGAAAAAAATAAATATTCTGGAGTGGCCATCACAGTCTCCTGACCTTAATATCATCAAGCCACTCAAATGTGCAGTTCATGCAAGATGACCAAAGACTTTGAATGACCTGGAGGCATTCTGCCAAGATGAATGGGCAGATATACCACCTGCAAGAATTCAGGGTCAACTATTACAAAGCCCTGCACACTGTCACTGATGCTAAAGGAAGCAATACACAGTATTAAGAACTAAGGGTATGCAGACTTTTGAACAGGGGTCATTTCATTCGTTTACTTGTTGCCATGTTTTATGATTGTGCCATTCTGTTATGACCTACAGTTGAATATGAATCCCATAAGAAATAAAAGAAATGTGTTTTGCCTTCTCATTCATGCTTTCTTTAAAAATGGTACGTACCAATTCTGTTATATTGTGAACAAGCTGCGCCTGTATATCAATTCTCCAAGGGTATGCAAACGTTTGGTTACAACTGTGAAAAAAAAATGTATTACAGCTTCTCAATCCTTAGATGTACACTATGTGCTGCATTGGTTTTCATTTTTCAGGCTGTGATAATTTTTTGCAAGTGCAGAAATGTTGATCTTGCAAGACATGCAAGAAATTTCACATCTTTAGAGCTGAAAAGAAAGCACAAAACCTTCGCATTAAATTGTGTAAACTATTAGTCCCATCAATCCATGTAATGGAATGAACAAAGACAGACATCTTTGAAAACCTGCCTTTATCACAACTATGGCTTTCCTCGTGTGTACAGTAGAGAAATGGGTGTACACACAAAGTGACAAGAAGTGTGTTATTTGGAGGATCACCAGGTGAAAAGAGAAAAAATGTCAGAACAAAAAGGAAAAATAATGCAGCCATCATATTTAGGGACAGGTTAATTGTAGTTTGCTCTGTCAGGAAGAGGAGCAGCTGCTATTTCATTATGTTTTCTGCTGTCCTTGCGTGTGTCAACAGATGGACAGGCACAGTTACAATCAGAGACTGTGATTATATAACTTGTGTAGTCTGCTGGGTCCATCCACCACACAGAGGAAGGACTGCTTGAATCCCTGTAAATGCTGGGGAGAACAGGGGATTCTGGGAAAAGCAGTTCCAAACTAACTATATTGCCTTATGGACTGAGCAAAAATTAACTTACACATCTCAGAGTGATTAGAGCACTCAGCAGAGCGCTCCTGGGCTGAGATGTGTGTGGAGGACATTCAGACAGACTGTGTGCTTCAGGCTGCCAGCAGACTACTCACCATCCCTGAAAGAGAGACAATGGCAGACATCCTGGGACACTGGATCAAGGGGAAGGACACCACAGACACTGACCAGTTGTGCTGCAAACAGGAAACAGAGGAAGATCACCTGCTGCCACAGGAGTTGGTGAGAGGCCGATGGGCAAAACCCACTACACTTTAACAAAAAGGGACAATGTTGCCTGCAAGCATTACATGCCAGTGCTTGGGGGGACATTATCATGAGCACTCCAACATAAGAATTGGACCTTTATGAACTGGCAAGCAGAAGAGAGATGGTATGTTACATACTGCTGAACGGTTATGGTAGTTAGGATTGCCCCAGTATAGGGTTTACGTGGGGTTGGTCTTTAGGTTAATTACAGTATTTGTTTTCACAGTATATTTTTGCTACTCTCTACCTATTTAAAGTATATCTCTTGCTGATGTTCATCAATTTACAATATATTTCTTGCTATTGTTTAACCCTTTGCTGCGTCTTTACTATT